GAGAAGAGAGAAGAGAGAAGAGAGAAAGGAAGAGAGAGGGGGGAGAGAAGAACGCACCCTCAATGGTGCTGGAGGCGATGCCCTCCATCAGGCCGGAGGCCACGGCGGACAGCCGCACCGGCGGCGGGAGGAAGAAGCGCGTGGTCGAGTGGATGCGAGACCCGCTGCCGGCGCGGCGGCCGCGCGAGCTCGGCGAGTAGTTGGTCCCGAAGGTCCCGGTCGAGGGGATGCTCAGACGGCGGATGTGCACGGTCAAGCGCTCGTCCTCGTCATCGGGCGAGGAGGTCGGCGGCGGGGGGATGCGCAGGGACGACACGCTGTTGGCGTCGAGCCCGGGCCCGGCCGAGGCGAGGGAGACCTCAGCACTGGACTGCTGGATTTGCAGCAGGGAGGACGAGCCACCGGCCTCATAGTCGCTGTCGGAATCCGAATCATAGTCGATGGCAATGATGGATGGGTGCGAGGGGAGGCCGCCGCGCGTGGCACGAGCCGCCTCGGACCCCGGGCCATCAGCTGCCCCGGGAGTGGCCAGGGGGGAGCCCACCAGCGGCTGGCCGGGCTTCTGCTTGGAGGGGCTGGCCGCCGGGGAGGGGTCCGACGCTCCGGCGGCCGTGGCCGCCGCCGCGATCTGAGCCTGGTTTTGGTTCTTGTCCGAGGACCCGGCCATCGAGGACCGGGGCGAGATGACACGCAAGATGTTCATGGTGATGGCCTTTCCGAGGGCAGAGCCAAGGGAGCCGGGGAGCGGGGACGGGGGGGGGGGGGAGGAGTGCGCGAGAAGGGCGGGCAGGGAGGGGGGGGGGGAACTCTCGAGCGAGCCGGGCTAGACACACCCACGCACGCACGCACGCACGCGTGGTACACGGGGCACTGGGTGTCAGGGGGGGAGGGGGGAAGGGGAGGCTGAAGGCGGGCCGGCAGGGAGAGCAGCGATCGGCGCGCACCTGGGAGGAGAAGGGGGGATCGGTCACCCGGGAGACCGGACCGACGCACGGGGCAGGCCGCTACGGCTGCTGGGGGGGGGGGGGAGGGAGGGAGGGGGAATGCGGGAGGGCGAGAGGGAGGAGGCCGAGCGCGATGGAGGGCGGGGCAAGAGTGGAAAGGAAGGGAGGGGAAGGGGGGAGGCAGGACGGAAAGGGGGGGGGGGAATGTCTGGCTTCAGGGTCACCAGCCTGGGGCATGGTTGGGCGGTGGCTCTCGAGCCAATGGGGGGCACCTCGGGCCCCGCCGCCCCTCTCTTGGTCCCACCCCACCGGTCTGGCTCTCGTCTCCCGCCGCTGCCTCGGCCTCCCCCGCTGCCTCTCGGGGGGAGGGAGATGCGGGCGCGGGGCGGGCGACGACGACGACCGCGACCGCGACGACAACAACAACAACAACAATGAATCAGGGGCCGCCTCATCCCGGGCGCCTCCCCCCCCCCTCCCTTGCATCACCAGGGTGGGGATCCCCCGCACGGGCGGTCGCAGGTGCCGTGGCGGGGGGCACACCGAGGGCCGCGGACCGGCGCCTGGACGCCCGGAGGGGCGCCCTGTCCTCTCAGATGGTCGGGCAAACCGACGCAAGGGCCTTTGCCCCTCCCCGGCCCCTCCTCCCGGTCCGGGGGGAAGGGGTCGGCGTGCACGCACGCACGCGCGCGCGCCCGAGTCGGCGCCCCCTGCCACACCGGCCGCCGACGATGCCCTCTGTGCGCTCCATTCGAGGGAGTGGGTCGCCGGATGGGCGGGGGGGGGGGGGGCCATCGCCTATTTGGTCTGACTGGCTGAATGACTCACAGGAGGCCCAGCCCCAACCTGTGCCGAGGGTGGTGAGCCGGCCGAGGGCGGGCAGCACATGCGCGTCGGCCGTGTGGCCGCTCGGTCTGGCCGTGGACGCGCCTCGGCCCCTCGCCTCCCCGGGCGGGCCGCTGCCGCGAGCGCTCCCTCGCGCGCCGGCGCGTGCCGCTGTATCTTGTCCGAACGGTGGCGTCCCCCAGAGACGGGGAGGGGGGAGCATCCCTGCCCCGGGCGCCGGAGTGGCGGCCGGGAAACCCGCGGAGCGCGGGAAGGGCGGCCAAATCAAGTGTCACAATGGTCGGGAGCCAAGCAGGGGCAGGAGCGAGGGGGGCCGAGAAGCCCGGCGGCCGCCGGCTTGTCATGCGGGGATGTTTGCCGGGCGCGTGGGGGCCCGGCTCGTTTGAACGGACCGCCCCCTACTGTGCGCGGCCGCAGGGGGGCGCGAGCGGGAGGGGGGGGAGAAGGCACCGCTGGGGGCGCGCCTCGCACGGCCGCCAGCGGCCAGCGCATCCGGGGGCAGCGTGCCTGCCCGGTTTGTCACGCGCTCGCCCGGCGGGAGAGAATGCTCGAAGCTATGCACGACGGCCGGGGGCAGGCGAGGGGAAGGCGGGGGCGGGGGGGTTGGGGAGGAAGGAGAGCGCCCCCAGGACCCGGGCGCGCGAGGCGCCGGCCCCCTTCCCCCCCCTCCATAACGGCTTCGCGTGAGCAGGCGTCCGCGCGGAGTGGCTAGACAGGTTCGCCACGTCTGGCGCCCCGCAGGCCTCAGACTGGTGGGGCTGTCAGCCGTCGGAGCACGAAACTCATCAGGCATTCGGAGACACAGCGCCCCCAGGACCCGGGCGCGCGAGGCGCCGGACACTGCCGGGGCTGGGGGGGGGGGAGTGCGCCGCGACACGCACGCACCCCCCCCCCCCCCGAGTGTCCCCGGACCGGGGGAGCACCCACCAGGCGGAGGGTGTCAGCCGGGCGTCGGGCAGCACGGTACAGGCCGGCGGGATGGCCCGCGCCCGGCCGCCCCCCCGGAGCAAATGGACCCGGGGGAGGGTCATTTGCCGGCACGACCAGGGGTTGAGACGGCCCGGCGAGCTCCGCCCGGGGCGCTGCCGGCGAATGCCTTCTTTTTTTTTCCCAGCGCGAAGGCAGCGCGGCGCGAGAGGCCGCCGTGTCCGGCGGGCCGAGCCGGCGGCGGTGCGGTGGCCGCGCGCTCGGACGCGCCCCGCGGAGAGATCCCCTCACGCACGGCGTCCGGTGGCTAGGGGGGCGGGATCAACGGGACTCGAAACAGAGCGTGTCCTACAGCGCGCCAGGCCCGGGGCAACCTCCCCGAGCTCGGGTCCTCCGTTCCCGGCCTGCCCCCCCGGGGGGGGGGGGGGGGGCCGGACAGCCGCTATCCAGCGCCTCGGGGGAACAGCAGCACCAGGAGCCGCCGCCGCGGCCGGCAAGCCTCCACGACCGATCCCGCTGGCCGTGTGGCACACCGGAATCGGCATTAATCACTGAATAATTTATTATTACCAGCCTCCGCACATTCGCGCGCGCCGCACCAGGGGCCGTGCGCCACTCTCGGGCGCTGCCCGGGGGGAGGACGAGGTCTCCCAGAGGCCCGCGCCGGGCGCCCTCCGTGGCAAGGGCGCCAGGTGGCAATATCCGCCTGGCCTCCCGTCCGCCCCCCCCCCCCGGGCGGGCCGACGCGGCCCATGTCTCGATCAATTGGGCGAGATTGCCTGCTGAGCCACACCCTGGAGCTGGGGCGGCCCTGCCGGCCCCGGGCGCGCATTCCTTGGCGGACATGGCTCGCAGCCAGTGGCGGCGTTTCGGGCGTCCCTGCCCGGCGCGGTCGTCCTGCCTGCCCGGTCGACACGGCCCCTGAGAGCACTGATCGGGCCGCCCCGGGCCGGCGGGCCGAGGGGGCAGAGAGGGACGCCCCCCCTCCCCCCCCCCCCCCGGCTTCTCCTCTCTGGGGGGCGCGGCCGGACGGCACCGGCGGGCCACCGAGCAAACGAACAGGGACCAAATGCGTGCACGTCACATCGGGGGAACGCGTTGTTCCTGGCGCCGGGCGGCGGGTGCCGCCGGCGAAGCAGGACGGAGCCGCACACCGCACAAACACGCGTAGGTCCCCCCCCCCCCCCGGCGGCACGACGCCCAACCTGCGGGCTGGGGCATCAGAGGGGATGACTCGGGAGGGAGGGGAGGGGGGGGGGCGAACGCCCCAGGGCACCCTTACTGCCATGGCTTCTTGGGCGGGAGGGAATCGGCGGGCGGATGTAGCACTGACCAGAATGGTCAGTCGAATGGCATTTAGGTTCTACTGTCTCGCGGGGCGGACGTCTTCCTCCCGGGGCCCGGCGGATTCCCACAGTACGGCGCATTCCTGGCCGTCGACGCCCGGAGAGCCAGTTCAACAGGAGGGAGGCCTCCTAATTGCAACGCCGCCCCGCGCACTTCCGCCGGATATTGCGTGCATGTGCGTGTGGGTGTGCGTGTGTTTGGGTGTCCGGTGTACGCGCGCGCGCACGCGGGCGCGCGGGCGCATGTGGCGATGGGCCGGCAACCGCCTGCGACCCGGTAAGCCTCGGGTCTCATGGCCCTGTGTGCATGTTCCGGGAACTCCTGCTGCAGCCGGGGGATGGTGGTGCAGAGCGGCCCCGGGTTGGGGGCGAAAGAAGCAAGGGCCCGGGAGCCGGCGCAAAGAAGATGTCCATGGGCAGATGGGCGTGGGTGCCAAATCGCCGAGGATTCAGGGCGGCAGGCGAAAGCCCGCCCGCCCTCTCGCCCCAAGGGGGGGGGGGGGGGCCAGGGGCGGGCGGCCGGCGGTCGAGGGGCAACAATAGGCAAGGGCGGAATGCCCCGCCCCCTTGGTCTCGGACCCGGTCCCAGTCCCGCACCAGGGAGGGCAGGCGCCCCCGCCCAAAGGGACAGGTATGCGGGGCCCTTGCGCCCTGGCGGGGCGCGACCTCCCCCCCCCCCCTCATGGGCGGGGATGGAAACTCCCAGGCGACCCCTTGGCGGGGTAATGACCGGAGACCCCGGCCGGCTCTTTCTCCCTCTGGCGGGCTCTTCATGGTCGCCGCTCCCCACGCCCGAGGGGGAGGTGGCCCGGCGCGCCGGTGTCCCTCGCCACCGGGCATAGGTGCCACCTCTCGGGGAGTGTCGCTGGCGAGTTCCCCCGCCGGGGCTCCGGGGCCGGGGCTCACGCTTTCCGCGGGCGGCAGCACTCCCCCCCATATGCACACCAAGGCACACAGGCACCCACGTCCGGAGCACGAGCCAGGGTGCGCCTACACACGCGCGGCCGCGTGCACGGGCCGCCGCAGCACGCTCAGGCTGTGTGGATTGGCATCAGGAGCACTCGATCCCGGCCCGGTGTTCGCCTCTGTCTGCCTCGGGGGGAGGGCTGGCGGCGGCGGCGGCGGCGGCGGCGGCGGCGGCGGCGGCCGGCTGCGTCACCCCCACAAGTTCCGGGGGGGGGGGG